AGACAGCAAAGCCTAGAGAAGACAATGATGCTGGGGAAAGTGGAAGGCAAAAGGAAGAGGGGCCGACCAAGGGCAAGATGGATGGATGGCATCCTTGAAGTGACTGGACTGACCTTGAAGGAGCTGGGGGTGGTGACGGCCGACAGGGAGCTCTGGCGTGGACTGGTCCATGAGGTCACGAAGAGTCGGAGATGACTGAACGAATGAACAACAACAACAACAGTGTGTAATGGATATGAGTGTGGCTTCTCTTGGTGAGATAGGGCCTTCCTCGCTTGCTCTCCATGACCTCTGCAAAAGCCATAGGGCACAATCCTCTTGGAAGGTCTCCTGCAGCAATTTCTGTCCAAGGGAAGAAGGCTGGTTGGTGCCAAAGGGAGTTGCTGGAAGAAAAAACATTCCAGATAAATATATGCAAGAGGCTTCCCAGCATGATTGATCCCAAGCTCTTGCAACCACAACGCAGGCTGGGCAACACCATCACCGAAAATAGCCACCCCTTTGAATTCTTGAGCAACCTGGTGCAAATTACATACGAGGCTATGAATAATAAAAAGGAACTCGGGGAAAAAGGCATCACGGAAATAGTCTTTTCCTGTTCATTTGTTTTGACAGCTGTGATTTAGTTTCCATTATTCCTGATAATGCAGTCCTAATGCAATGGGAAACATATACCTGGCACGCTTTGCTAAAGGCACCGCAGCTTTAATCATGCAAGACCTCCTTGCCGCCTCTGCAAGTCAATCATTACTGGAAATGAGCGGGGAAAGAGCCGCCTTTCAAAATGCACACAGGCTGCCCGTAGGACCATTGAGGGGGTGTGCTAATTGCGTGTGCAAGTGCGACACACCTCCCACCGCCGACCCCAAGAAATACACTCACACAGGTGTGGGTTTGAACAATGGCCACAACTCATTTATTGAAAACAGGGACAAGGGTTGGCAGCCAAGCATGGGTCCTGGATCATGATCGGGCAGCCCAATACTGCCCGATCCCAAACACACCAGGGGGCCGCTGGCACAATACCAGGCAAGCGCAACCCGGCACCCCTGGTACCACCGAGCGTCCCCCCCTAACCGCTAGGGGGGGGGGTACCAAACCGGATCCAGGGCCCATGCCCCACGCCAACACGGAGTTGTGACAAGGAGCATAACACAAACAAGTAACCGTTAACATGAAACGAAGATGAGGCAAACACAACCAATTAAACTACCAATGAAAACATAAACCGCTTGCAGGGTGGGTGGGATGGATCAGCTGTTGCAGGCCGAGTGCCTGCCGGGGAGCCCAGCGCAGCCTTAAGAAGGCTGCCCCCGAGGGGGGAGAGGCCAGCTCCGGCCTCACCTGTGATGGGTGTGGCCAGTCACCTGATTGGCCCCTAGCCCCGACCGGCGGGAAACCTTCCCGCCATCAGGGGGGGGGGCTTCTGGGAGGAAGAAGCCCCCCCAGGCAAGAATGGCGGTGGGGAACGCCCTGCACCGCAACTCCTATGGCCCGGTAAGTCTGGCCATGCCTTTTAATGTCATCCAGGGTGCATTCAAAGACCCTGAAAGGTTTGGCTGCCTCTTTGGCATCTGGGTGCATTTGGTATGCCTTTCCTCCACAACTTACTGGCAATGTGATCCCAAAATCGGTCACCTCTGTCCCTGAGGAATATGAGTGCTTTATCGAAATAGTAAAAACCTGTGCATGGGCTTCTATACCAAGAGGCTGCAGAGCACACTACTTTCAGGGCATTACTCCTATGCCTTCTGTGCCCACTCAGAAGAAGACCTACAAGCCACTCTAAACATCTATGAGAAGCTCGGTCTCTCATTGAACATTGAGAAAACCAAAGTGCTCTTCCAGCAGTCACCAGCCAGTCCCTCTCCAATGCCAGAGATACAGCTTAATGGTGTAACATTAGAAAATGTGGACCATTTCCATCTCCTTGGCAGCCACCTCTCCACCAAAGTCAACATTGACACTGAAATACAACACCGCCTGAGCTCTGTGAGTGCAGCATTCTTCCAAATGAGGCAGAGAGTGTTTGAGGACCAGGACATCCGTAGGGAGGGAGACCAAGGTGCTTGTTTACAAAGCTATTGTCCTTCCAACCTTGCTATATGCCTGCAAAACGTGGACTGTCTACAGATGCCATACACAACTCCTGGAACGATTCCATCAGCATTGCCTTTGGAAAATCCTGCAAATCTCTTGGGAAGACAAGCGGACAAATTTAGGTACCACTTTATACGGAGAGACTAATTTAACTAATTTACGACACCATAAAACCTTCCAGCAGCGTGTGCATAAGAATGAGGAAGTACTCCATCAAGGATGGTGAAGCAACAGCTCCCCCTGTGGCCGGAATCGAGCATACCCACAATGAAGCTGGAAGCTGGAATGTTAAATTGCTTCTATGTCTGTCTAATTTAGGTACCACTTATGGGGTGGGGAGGTAATTTAACTAATTTACGACACCATAAAAAACTCTCCAGCAGCATGCAAAGAATGAGGAAGGACTCCATCGGTGTCGCAAGTGGATGCTGAAGCAACAGCTCCCCCGGTGGCCGGAATTGAAAAAGCATCCCCTCATGAAGCTGGAAAGTTAAATAGCCCCTGTGTCTCTGTCTATATATGTTGTGTGTTTATGGCATTGAATGTTTGCCATGTATATGTGCATTGTGATCCGCCCTGAGTCCCCTGAGGGGTGAGAAGGATGGAATGTAAATACTGTAAATAAATAATCAATGCATCTTGTAGGTAATTCTAAAAGTTAATTAGGTGTTATGAGAACATTCGTTGGGTTTGCTTTTGTTTACTACCCATTAGTATGGTAAGATGACCCTATCATCACCACCTCTACTGAATGTTGTCCAGAAGGAAGCCAAATATCCCAACAGTTTACCTGGGGTGTGCTTCATCATAAGGTGGCAGCAGTCCCATTTTGCGACTGCTGCGCTGCAAGCGGAGACAGGAGCAATTGCACCAGCAACCAGTCTGCTGTTGTGCATCCCCAGTGCACTGCTCTGGACCTGGTTTTGTTCTGGGCATCTTGGAGGGGGAAAGATATCAAAATGCACAATAAGAGTGGGTCTTTTAAATATAGTGTTTGACTGGGGGAAAGAAATAATATTGTGCCCTAGAAGAATTTCTGAGGGAGAAAGAGGGAGCAACATTAAGTCATAGCACCTAAACAGCATTAATATTTAGTTCACAGACAATGCTGAGATTAACTTCACCATTCAGCAGCAGATCAGTTGCACAACTTCAGCGCTTTCCAGTAGTTTCTTCCTGCACAGTATTTTCAGTCGACTGCTCCCACAAACTGCAGTCACTCGGGAACTCTTTTACAGACACTTGAGCACATGCCCGGCCATTGTCAGTTTTACTATTGTTTTCCCCTCCAAAATCTTGATGACACTACAAACTTACTACAGCACACGGTTATATCTTGTCTTAGCAGACAGGTTCTTTTAATCAATTACATAGAGCCTTCGACGAACAGCATCACAGCACAAGGAGAGAGAATACACTGTACACGACTTCCTTATATACAATTCTGTACCTTTACACATAGCAATCTCTGATTGGTTCCCAACCCATTGACTTAACTCAGACCCAGGATTGCATCCTTCACAATCACCTGGACTAGGCCAGAACACATTCCCCAAATGATTCCCTATATACAGTTAATGCATGACTCAGCATTTCCAATAGAAGCCTATTAGCTCAGCTATATTACATTACAATACATTGTAAAACCTGACAGACAATGATGTGCATTTTGCCATACCACTGCAACCCCCTTGATTCTCCATCATTGACTATACTGATTAGGGACGATGAGCATTGTAGTCCAACAATATCTGGAGAACCAACTGAGTCCCCTTTTTGGTTCTGAGGGGTAAATGGGTCATGGGCAGGAAAGATTCTCAACAAGTTGGTTAAAGACTGTGTGTGTGTGTGTAAATGTAATGTTCGTTTGTGGAATTAACATAACTCAAAAACCACTGGACGAAGTGACACCAAATTTGAGCACAATACACCTCTCAGGCCAATGAGTGACCATCACTCATAAAAACACTGAAAAACACAGTGGAAGGGACTTAAAAAGCTAAAAAATAAAATTTACATTACAACGCATGCGCAAAACCACACATATATATCTACACAAACACATATGCACAAATATATACACACATATACACATACAAAACATATACATATATTGGGCCACAGCAACGCATGGCTGGGGACGGCTAGTGTGTGTGTGTGTGTGTGTATCTATCTGGACGAATTGACACTAAATTTGGACACAATACACCTATCAGGCCAACAAGTGACCATCACTCATAAAAACACTGAAAAACACAGCGGAGGAGACTTAAAAAGGCAAATAAATTTAAAAGAAATACATTACAACGCATGCACAAAACTACATAAATATATATATATGCAAACCCACTTATACACAAATATATACATACAAAACACATATACACAGACTGGGCCACAGCAACGTGTGGCAGGGGATGGCTAGTGTACTATATATCTATATAGTGTGGAGTCCAGCTAAAGTCAAGGAAAGGCAGAGTGTGAGGAAAGCTGCAGTCATTGTGTCTTAACATAATAAACAAATAGGAGCACCATGAACTGCAGCTTCTCAAAAACCCTTTGGTTGAGGTTCTACATGGCTGAAGAGGTCACGTTTGGCCATTAATAACTGTCAACATGAATCCGAAAAGTTACGAGTTTATAAGTCCAGTTTGTGAGCTTGCAAATATTGATCAGGGAACGCAATGCCAACCTGTGTATTTTTTATATTTTTCCAGCATTATTTACCTGTTCAGGCTCAGGGGGCAGCAGCACTGTTTATTTGGGTCTGAATGCCCAGCTTGGACACCATGACATTCCTGCAGGCATTTTGAATGTGTCTTCAGGGCTCCATCTATGCCAATGTTCCTTTGTTTTGCTGACCTGGCCCAGCCTTGAGGTGAATCCTGCCGTTTTTACAGGTGAGCCGAGCGCGCCCAAGCTGGAAGGCCAAATGGGAGAAGACGGCAACTCCTTCAAAGTGAACCTCATCAAGCAAGACGATGGAGGCTCGCCCATTCGGCATTACCTCGTCAGATACAAAGTTGTAAGTCCTTCTGATGCCACTTCATGACTCTAAATGAGCATTTGTACTGTAGTATTATGAACATCATTGTTGGGGGGGGGGGATAATAATAATAATAATAATATTGAAAAATAAACATCTTATGTTATTTTGCACTGTTTATTTTATTCTGTTATTTTATATATTTTGCTGTGAAGTAATTTTTTGGTTGTTTTCTTTTGTTTCCAACTTTGCTGTATTATTTTTGGGCTTGGACTCATGTTAGCTGCCCCGAGTCCCCTTTGGGGAGATGGTAGTGGGGTATAAATAAAGATTATTATTATTATTATTATTATTATTATTATTGGCTTGGCCTCATGTTAGCCACCCCGAGTCCCCTTTGGGGAGATGGTGGCAGGGTATAAATAAAGATTATTATTATTATTATGTATTATTATGTATTATTTTTGGGCTTGGCCTCATGTTAGCTGCCCCGAGTCCCCTTTGGGGAGATGGTGATGGAGTATAAATAAATATTATTATTATTATTATTATTATTATTATTATTATTATTATTGGGCTTGGCCTCATGTTAGCTGCCCCGAGTACCCTTTGGGGAGATGGTGATGGGGTATAAATAAAAATTATTATTATTATTATTATTATTATTATTATTATTATTATTATTATTATTGGGCTTCGCCTCATGTTAGCTGCCCCGAGTCCCCTTTGGGGAGATGGTGGTGGGGTATAAATAAAGATTATTATTATTATTATGTATTATTATGTATTATTTTTGGGCTTGGCCTCATGTTAGCTGCCCCGAGTCCCCTTTGGGAGATGGTGATGAGATATAAATAAATTATTATTATTATTATTATTATTATTATTATTATTATTATTATTATTATTAGTAGTCGTAGTTGTAAGTTACCCCGAGTCCCCTTTGGGGAGATGGTGGTGGGTATAAATAAAGATTATTATTATTATTATTATTATTATTATTATTATTATTATTATTTGCTCATGTTAGCCACCCCGAGTCCCCTTTGGGGAGATGGTGGTGGGGTATAAATAAAGATTATTATTATTATTATGTATTATTATGTATTATTTTTGGGCTTGGCCTCATGTTAGCTGCCCCGAGTCCCCTTTGGGGAGATGGTGATGGAGTATAAATAATATTATTATTATTATTATTATTATTATTATTATTATTATTATTATTATTGGGCTTGGCCTCATGTTAGCTGCCCCGAGTACCCTTTGGGGAGATGGTGATGGGGTATAAATAAAAATTATTATTATTATTATTATTATTATTATTATTATTATTATTATTGGGCTTCGCCTCATGTTAGCTGCCCCGAGTCCCCTTTGGGGAGATGGTGGTGGGGTATAAATAAAGATTATTATTATTATTATGTATTATGTATTATTTTTGGGCTTGGCCTCATGTTAGCTGCCCCGAGTCCCCTTTGGGGAGATGGTGATGGAGTATAAATAAATATTATTATTATTATTATTATTATTATTATTATTATTATTATTTTTGGGCTTGGCCTCATGTTAGCCGCCCCAAGTCCCCTTTGGGGAGATGGTGGTGGGGTATAAATAAAGATTATTATTATTATTATTACTATTATTATTATTATTATTATTATTATTAAGTATTATTTTTGGGCTTGGCCTCATGTTAGCCGCCCCAAGTCCCCTTTGGGGAGAGTGGCGGAGTATAAATAAATATTATTATTATTATTATTATTATTATTATTATTATTATTATTGGCTTGGCCTCATGTTAGCCGCCCCAAGTCCCCTTTGGGGAGATGATGGTAGGGTATAAATAAAGATGATGATGATGATGATGATTGCTCTCAAGCAAAGCATAAAACGCAATGCTCCAAAAGTACAAGCACACATTGGCTTACTATATACATGAGATAACAATACACTCAACTATCCCATAAATTAACTATTTCAGCTGCAACAGAAACAGTCCTGATCCTTTCCAAAGCTCACTCCCCAGGGATATTAGACAAGCCCCAACTCTGGCAGTCTTTAGGAGGAGCCTGAAAACGTGGCTGTTCCAGTGTGCCTTCCCAGAATAAGGAAACTCCCAGCAAGATGTCCTTAAACGCACTTTAATAATGACTTTAGATTGCACATTTCTTCCCTCTCCAAAACCTTTATCCTAATTACATGTTACCTGTCTATGCCCAGCGTTATTTTTTTATATTTTAATTATTACATTTGGCCCAGCCATAGGTTTTTAAATGCGTCGTGTTATTGTTATTGTTTTTTTGCTTATTTTGCTTATGAGTTATGTATTGTTTTTGTATTATTGCTGTTATTGTTTATTGTTGTGTTGTGGGCTCGGCCAAATGTAAGCCGCACCGAGTCCCTCAGGAGATGGTAGCGGGGTACAAATAAAGTTTTTATTATTATTATTATTATTATTATTATTATTATTATTATTATTAAAAGTACATTGCAAACCCTTAGTTGCAACAAGTCCTTGGGGATCGGGTAGGAACACTCTCCTAGATCTCACTGGTTGTACATGTAGGGAATTGATATAATAATAATAATAATAATAATAATAATAATAATAATAACAACAACAACAACAACAACAACAACAACAACAACAATAATAATGTATTGTCGAAGGCTTTCATGGCCAGAATCACTGGGTTGTTGTAGGTTTTTTCGGGCTATATGGCCATGTTCTAGAGGCATTTCTCCTGACGTTTCGCCTGCATCTATGGCAAGCATCCTCAGAGGCACTTCCAGGTTGGTTCATCAGGTGCTCTGCTATGGCTGATTTCTCTGGTTGGAGTCGTCTGCAGTAGTTTGAACCAACCTGGACACAGCATATTATTTGAGAACACAGAAGGGCTGGACCACTCTCACAACCACCATGTCAGGCTACACAGAGAAGCCATTGAAATCCACGAGAAGCATGTGGACAATTTCAACAGAAAGGAGGAAACCATGAAAATGAACAAAATCTGGCTACCAGTATTAAAAAACTCAAAAATTACAACAGCAAAACAACAGAGAGGAAACAAACAGGCACATAAAATCACTCTCAACAAAAGATTCTCCCCAGGCACTTCCAAGCCATTTAATGCTAATCAAGGTGATCAGCTGAAACATTTACACCTAGCTCCAGCAGACAAGAGTCCTTTGTCCCACCCTGGTCATTCCACAGATATATAAACCCATTTTTCCTACTTCCAACAGACCTCACTACCTCTGAGGATGCTTGCCATAGATGCAGGCGAAACGTCAGGAGAAAAATTGCCTCCAGAACATGGCCATATAGCCCGGAAAAACCTACAACAACCCCAAAATAATAATAATCTTTATTTGTATTCCGCTACCATCTCCCAAGGGACTTGGTGCGGCTTACATGAGGCCGAGCCCAAATACATCAATACAAGCAATAATAACAACAATGCAAGCAATTAAAATAAAACGTGGACAATAAAATAACGAAACATTAACAATAAGACAACACACAATTAAAAACTATGGGAAGGCCAAATGTAAAATTGAAATTGAGAATAATGCTGGAACATGGGCGAAAAAGTGATGGGGCATTTGTGGAAAACATACAAGCAGACCTAAAACAATGTAAAGTGCTTCAGAGGACAAATGGATGGCCTTGTCCACCTCAAGTTCTTGTGGCTGAATTCCTCTCCCTGCTTTTTCTATTTGCTGTCTTGCTGAAGAAGCAGTCCTCGGATTGGAAGCCCGAGATCCGGCTCCCTTCGGGCAGCGACCACGTCATGCTCAAGTCTCTGGACTGGAACGCCGAGTACGAGGTCTCCATCACGGCGGAAAACCAGCAAGGGAAATCCCAGGCCGCCTACGTCTTCTTCAGGACTTCTGCGCAGCCCACCATCATCCCAGGTAGAGCCCTAACCAGCTTCTTTCCGCCATTGTTTTTCCGCTTGGAATTAATGCAACAGCACCACATCCCTTAACGTGCTTGAGGGTGTCTTTTTCCAGAGCGGGAGGAAAGCGGGGGGGGGGGGGGGGGGGGGGGGGGCGCGGGACCGGGAATAAAAACACTTGGCAACTCGCTTGCTTACAGTCATCCTCATAACTGGTTACCCATCTAAAGCTTTTAATGACTCAGCCTTGTACGTGGCAAACACAGGAGTCCAGCCCTTGGTATGTAGGATCCATCTGGTTTTCCAAGTCCTTGACATGGTTGCTTTCGTAACGCATGGCACTCAAGTGGGATCATCCCAGAGCATTGAGGCCAGAGGGAACTCCTCGTGGTGTGTTTTTGGCCACTTAAGGATTCCCCTTGCGACCTGGATGTCCTGGTTTCGGCAACACAAATTTATTATTTATATATTTACTCTATTTCTATATCGCCCTTCTCAGCCCAAGGGCAACTTAGGGCAATTTACAAAACAGCACAATTTGAAGCCACAATAATATAAAAACAGCTAAAAGCATAGTACATAAAATTCCATAAACAATAAAATCAATAAATCATCTTCATCTCAATACCAAAATCGTTATCCGATCACAATTGTCCAGTCGTTCTGAGGTCAAGAAGTTATCCGCTTCACTGCATTTGAGAAAGCCTGCTCACAAAGCCAGGTTTTGACTTGTTTACGAAATATTAAAAGGGTAGGGGCCGATCTAATGTCCCTAGGGAGGGTGTTCCACAGCCGAGGGGCCACCACTGAGAAGGCCCTGTCTCTCATCCCTGCCAACCGAACTTGTGAAGAAGACGCGACCGAGAGCAGGGCCTCCCCAGAAGATCTTCAATTCCTAGATGGTTCATAAGGAGAGATACGTTCGGACAGATTACTTAGGCGAGCCCTTGTTTTCCGAGGAGGATTGTCTTCCAGTGTTCTTGTGGGTCTGTATGTGGCTGTGGAGCCCTATTCTTGCTCTGCATCTTCTCCCGCAGTGAGGGCATTGGTTTCCAGGTCTCAGTCAGGGTTGGCTTGACACGCCTTCCTCTTGGCACGCTTCTCCCTTTCGTCCTCCATTTGTGCCTCTTCAAATTCTGCAGCACTGCTGGTCACAGCTGACCTCCAGTTGGAGCACTCAAGGGCCAGGGCTCCCCAGTTCTCAGTGTCTATGCCACAGTTTTAAAGGTTGGCTTTGAGCCCATCTTTAAATCTCTTTTCCTGTCCACCAACAGATAAGCAGGGCCAGAACCATTTAGGGCTTTATAGGCCAAAGCCAGCACCTTAAATTGTGCTTGGTAGCAGACTGGCAGCTGGTGGAGCTGGCGCAACAGAGGAGTTGTGTGCTTCCTGAGTGCCGCTCCTGTTAACAACTTGGCTGCCGCCCGTTGGACCATTTGAAGCTTCCGAACAGTCTTCAAAGGCAACCCCATGTAGAGAGTGTTGCAGTAGTCTTTACAAGATGTAACCAGAGCGTGAACTACCGTGGCCAAGCTTGTGATTGGCGATGAGCTTTCCTTTTGTCCTCCAACTCTGGCTTTTTTCACTGTGACCATGAAGAGATGCAGCATTATTTATTTATTAATTTACAGCTTTTCTCTTCCGCCCTTCTTCTCACCCCGCAGGGGACTCAGGGCGGATTACAGTGTACACATATATGGCAAACATTCAATGCCAATTTTTGACATACAAACATATACAGACATACACAGAGGCTATTTAACTTTTTTCTGGCCGCCAGGGCAGCTGTCGCTTTCGTCGTCCATCTGCGACGCTGATGAAGCACTTCCGCATTCCCCACATGCTTCCCCGCTGGAATGCTTTTGCTGGAGTCTTCTTTATGGCCTCATAAATTAGTTAATTTAGCCTCCCCACACTTTAAAGTGGTACCTAATTTTCCTACTTGACAGATACAACTGTCTTTCGGGTTGCAAAGGTCGACAACAGGCTACACACAATTGGTTGGAAACCCACTCCAACCCGGGCTGGCTTCGAACTCATGACCTTTTGGTCAGAGTGATCTTAATGCAGCTGACACTCAGCCAGCTGCGCCACAATCCCGTGTGCAGGATCCCGTGTGCGGGATTGCATTAGCAGTCAAGGGATGCATTGCTTGTGAGGACTTTGCTAGCTTGGTTTTTTGTTATTGTCATAAAGAGGCATGTATGTCAGGATGGCAAACCACAGGCTGGCAGTAAACGCATCACTGTGTGATGCCATTCGAGATGCAGTTCTTTTGATTTCTTTCTCAAAGGAAGCAGGCAGTAAATCCAGCCAAAATCTTCGGTTTTCCAGGTGTATTTGCAACTTGAACTTATTCCACATGCAGTTTGCACTTTTTGTGCACAAAAATCACATGTATCGGTATAGAAAACAGCATTTTCAGCACTGAAAACAACCTTTCTATGTAGAAGGATTGATTTATCCATAGAGGATATTGTTGCTAGTATAGCGGCTACTGTATTCTGCACAAAAGAGTGCCAAGTGTGAATTTTTCACACAATAAGCCAGATTGCAAGAATCTTCTTAGTCAGAGTTTTCTGACACTTGAGAAACACTGTTTGGGGGTATTGATCAACACCTTAAGACCAGGGGTCCTCAAACTAAGGCCCGCGGGCCAGATACGGCCCTCCAAGGTAATTTACCTGGCCCATGCTCGGGGTCAACCTGAAAGCACACAACAACAACAACAACAATCCTATCTCATCAGCCAAAAGCAGGCTCACGCTTCCCATTGAAATACTAATAAGTTTATATTTGTTAAAATTGTTCTTCATTTTAATTATTGTATTGTTTTAAGTGTTTTTTGCACTACAAATAAAACATGTGCAGTGCACATGTGTTTTTCAAATTATAATCCAGTCCTCCAACAGTTTGAGGGACTGTGACCTGGCCCTCTGTTTAAAAAGTTTGTGGACCCCCTTCTTCTGTGCCAAGAAGAATGCATCTTATGGTGCAAACTAATTCCATATTTCTACCTGATCTGCATTTTAATTCATTTTGCCATGTGTCATAAAGAGTACAGGCAGTGGGGTAGGAGAGTCATTGCAAGCCATGCACAGACTCACTTTATTGCAAGCCAAGACTGGCATAGGCCACTTCTTCTGGAAGAAGGTTTGCTTTAAGCATTGGAATGGACCAAGGAGGACACTTAATGCCCTAAATATGCCCCCGCTCCTGAAGAGAAATCTCGTTTGCTGGGACCTCAGTAACATACTAAAACGACTGATGTTCTTGTTTTGTCATGCCAGTCGCTCTAATGCTTCATGCTGTCATCTGTTTGAAGGACAATTTTTGTGGCTGGGGGATCTCAAGCGTACACTCTGATTCAAATGGGTTCACAGAAAGTTGAGTGTGTTGTGGATGACGAAGGAAGGTCACTTCTGTCCTGGGCTAAGTGAGGAGAGAGCAGAAGGCAAGAGGAACACAGTCAGGAATGAGAGAAGAATGAGTAGAGCGAGGGGTGTGAGAAGGTTAGAAGCTCCGTTGAGAGAGGTTGCCCCTAAGACTGTTGCTAGATGGAATGAGGAGAAGCCTGGTTTTGGGGGTCTTCCCAGGTGGTTTAAAGGTGCTTTAATGATCTCCACCTCCCAACTAGGTGGTCCTTCACCCCTCTTTCCTTCCCTTGGACCCTCCTGGACACAACCAGTCTTCTTCTGGATCCATCCATGGGGAAACCTTAGTTAGGAGAAGGCACAATGGCCGTTTCAAGTGGAGGTAGCTTTGCAATGCAACTGGAGATGGGCTACAGCAACCCAAATCTCACCACAGCTTGAATGACCAGGGAGATGCTGTTTTGAGGACTGTGGGGTGAAATCACCTCTCTAAGGTCCATCGGCAGAGGAGAAAGGACCTTATTGCCCATGCTCTCTGGGTTGTGTGCACATCTCAAAGTGGCAACTGGGGATGGGCTACAGCATCCCAAATCTCACCACAGCTGAAATGGCCAGGGAGCATGCTGTTTTGAGGACTGTGAGGTGAAATCACCTCTCTAAGGTCCATAATCGGAGGAGAAAGGGTCTTATTGCCCATGCTCTCTGGGTTATGTGCAAATCTCAATGTGGCAACTGGGGATGGGCTACAGCAYCCCAAATCTCACKAKAGCTGGAARGYCCAGGGAGATGCTGTTTTGAGGACWGTGYGGTGAAATCACCTCTAAGGTCCATCACAGAGGAGAAAATACCTTATTGCCCATGCTCTCAGGGTTGTGTGCAAATCTCAGTATGGCAACTGGGGATGGGCTACAGCAACCCAATCTCACCACAACTGGAATGACCAGGGAGCATGATGTTTTGAGGACTGTGGGGTGAAATCACCTCTAAGGTCKATCAGCAGAGGAGAAAYMARCTTATTGCCCATGCTCTCTGGGTTGMGTGCAKATRTCAYWYTGGCAACTGGGGATGGGCTACAGCAWCCCAAATCTCACKAKAGRTGGAARGYCCAGGGAGATGCTGTTTTGAGGACWGTGAGGTGAAATCACCTCTAAMGTCCATCACAGAGGAGAAAATACCTTATTGCCCATGCTCTCAGGGTTGTGTGCAKATCTCAGTATGGCAACTGGGGATGGGCTACAGCAACCCAAATCTCACCACAYCTGGAATGYCCAGGGAGCATMKTGTTTTGAGGACTGTGGGGTGAAARCACCTCTAAGGTCCATCAGCAGAGGAGAAAGGATCTTATTGCCCATGCTCTCTGGGTTGTGTGCAKATCTCAAAGTGGCAACTGGGYATGGGCTACAGCAGAGTGATCACCTCTCTAAGGTCCATCAGCAGAGGAGAAAGGTCTTATTGCCCATGCTCTCTGGGCTGTGTGCAAATCTCAATGTGGCAACTGGGGATGGGCTACAGCAGCCCAAATCTCACCACAGCTGGAATGGCCAGGGAGATGCTGTTTTGAGGACTGTGGGGTGATCTAAGGTCCATCATCAGAGGAGAAAGGATCTTATTACCCATGCTCTCAGGGTTGTGTGCAAATCTC